TCCCCCATTTTAATATTGTTATTTGCTCAGTGATGTGAGAATAATTTCCCAGCACACATGACCATAGTGCTCTTTTACAAGCTGGGGATTCTGAACTCCATGCATATTCTCATGTGTGGCAGAGTATTAGTCACCATCTTGTGAGGCTATCTCCTAAACAAACAAATAAGCAAAACCAATTCCAACAGAAGAGACTATTAACATGGTGCTGAGTGTTTTGGGCCAGTCTGACCTTTTAAATCTTATGCTTTGATTATATCAAGCAAACATGAAATTTAAAATATCTGTTATATTGATATTAATTACTAATTGCTCTAGAATGCTTTATAGTTGAAAGGGATCATGGCGGCATTAGGCTGTTATTTTGAAACCCAAACTGATTACCCTGCGCATCCCTTTTCTTGACTGCTAAAGAAAATTTTGTATCTGTGTATATTTAAGAATCATTAATTCAAATTTTAGAAAAGAAAGATACAAATGCGTATTTTTATTTTTAACAAAGATCTCCTCTCAGATGTACTGATTTGTCTCAGAGCTAGGCTCAGAATCATCTCAGCTCATTTCTCCTCTCATGACAATAATCCATGAAAATCACATAATCTTATCTATTCATGCCTTATGTTATATTTCAAAATATCTGTTTTGGACACTAACCATGTGAAAACGTGGATAGAAATTTAAACTTTTTTAACCCTTAAGTTTCTCTTAATGTTAAAAAAAGGAATTGGGAATTGGAGGTTAACCTGGTAACCATTACATTCTCTTCCAATTTTAAAATTCTGTCATTTTGCACCTATATGGTTTTATTCCCAGTGCCACCGCATATTGTTCTTCTCATTTCATGTCCAGACCATGATGCAATTACATCGTAACTGTTTGCTCCTCATCCAGACTGGCTATCTTTTATTACATCCTGTACCTTAACCAGTCATCTTCCAAAGAACCCACCTTCATCATGTCATTCCAAGCTTGAAGTCTTCTTGGCTTCCCACTGCTGACATGATAAAGTTCAAACTTATCAGGAGTACTGGATTCAGGATTCTATCATCTGGCCACGATCAGTCGTTTCATCTCTATGACCTACCACTATGCCACATTAACTCTAATTTCAGTCAAAATGGGCTGTTAAACCTTCCAGACTTATGCCCTGTGTGTGACATTCCCATCTCCATGCCTTGTCGTTTAGAATTACCTCCTGTACTTTTCTCAGCTATTTGCATTCCATCTGTCGATTATGACCCAACTCACATTGCACCTCCTTCATGCCCTTCTCCATTAAACTATCTATAATGCATCCTTCTCTCACCCTAATGCCCTATCCAAGTAGGGTCTCCCTAACACTTAATATCAGTACCATTCACTTTCAAAAAAACTTTATTGAGGAATAATTGACAAATATAATATTTAAAGTGTACAACATGATGACTTGATATACATCCATATTGTAAATGATTACCAAGATCAAGATAATTAATGATTCACTTTTAAATAAACTTTTTATTATGCAATATTCAATACTACTTACTTTTGATTTATTATAGTATATATTTGGTATATTTCCAAAATGATAGTGAGAAACCTTATGATAGAGACTGCATAAAAACGCATGCCAGTTGAAAAAGAAAGTGAAAATTCAAACCCATATGTGAGAGAGAATAAGTAACATGGATTAATGAAACTTAAAAATCTAGTTATATGTTTCCTGGCAAATAAAAAAAGGACCAATTAGATAGCATTTGGAAGTGACTTACTGTTGTGATATTGTGTGTGTGTGTGTGTGTGTGTATGTGTGTATGTGTGTGTGTATTTTTAATCTGTATGCATCTTGTCTTCACTAACTCTAATCTTTGTGATTTCTAGGACTTATTTTAGGAATTACACTTTGTAGTACGTAGCACAGTGTCTAGTCTAGCATGTGATGAGTTTAACAAATTGATTGATGGCTAATGTGATATCAGAATCATAAATTTGAAGTCATTTTCTTTATTAGAAAATCAAAATAGTACATAATAAACATATGAATGAAATGTGAGCATAAGAAAACATAGAAATCTTAGAGGGAGAATGGACAGTCTGAAGGTATGACCATTTTAATTAGAAGAAATTTTAAAAAGCGTTCATAACTTACTCTTTTTTTTCGATAAATGTCTATACAGACATCTCATAATATGGTGTAGCAAACCTTTAGTGAAATAAGAAACCAACTTTATTGGAACTAAATTGTTCAGTCTAATTTATGTCATTATCACTAGTGGAATAGGTGATAATACTCTACCTTCTTGAAGTATAAATTCACAACACATCCATCTTCTGAGTTTTCTTCCCTACCCTAAATAGCTGTTTATTGGACTAAAAGGATACTGTGCAGATACACTCTGCTGCTCCTCACACTGTACATCAGTGTTTCATTTCATCTCCATCTACAAGTTTCTAAACTTGATATGGGGACATTTTTAATATAGAGAGAATGAACACTCTAGTCCTCTGCTGTCCAATAGTAATTTCCATGAAGGTGGAAGTGTTCTAAATCTGTGCTGTCCACTACGGTAGCTACTAGCCTTAAGTGCTGAGAACTCAAAATGTAGCTAGTGTGACCGAAGACTGTATTTTAAATTGTATTTAATGTTAATTACTTGGAATTTAAATTGAAATAGCCAAAAGTGGTTAGTGACTATAGAATCGGACAGAATTGGCAGCTTTTACAGAGCTGCTTGCTTTTAGAACAGACCTTTTCTTACCTGATTTGGTAACTCTAACAGTAGATTCAGTTGGCCACTGTTTCTTTATTATCATGTGAAGTTTTAAGCTACCATGCATTAAGCGTGAAGCTTTGGGTGTCTTTATTATTTTAAGAAGTCTGTGTAATCAAAAGTAAAATTTAGAGAAATTTATTATTTACTGTCTCAGTAACATGGAGAGGATCATCACTGTTTCTATCATTAGATTTGTGCTTGGATTCAAAGAAAAAAAAATTATAAAATAGGAGTCTCCACTGGGTGTAGGCCCCCTTTTCTGGCCCTACTGGCAGATGTACTCTTTGCATCTCTCTTTGCAGGGCATTCTCTGAAGGCCTCTTTAAGCAATACATCTGAGTAAGTGAGCCGACCAAATTCTTCTCGAGGTAGATTTTTTCTGTCTGATTGTCTTGTTTTGCTCACAGTTCTATGAGCAAGTGGGTGGAGTTTGCTTTCTCTAGGCCAGCAGAAGCTTGTTCTAACTCTTCCTTTTAATTTCTTTAATATGAGGATCCCCACACTTGCTCTCTGAAATGCTATTTTGTGAACTATTTCCTCTAAGTCTGTTATGCCTTTTTTCCATTTGTGTTGAAGTCTCTTTTCCCACGGGGGCCTTTCTTTCTCAACTTAGTCATGCTATGTGTGGAGACCCACATCTACACTGCTGGCTTCTCTGACTCATCCTGGGAGGTTCACTTGCTTCAGGAATCCCACTCAACGCTGCAGTGGAACAACAGGGAGGCTCTAATGAAGCTAGGCCCTTCTGAAATCTGCATCTTTTCCTGGCACTTTTCCTTCTTGTCCAAAGCTACATGAGAAGGGAAACAAGCAAAAATGCCCTTTCCTCCTTTAAGGCAATGTTTTTAGTAAATAAGTTTTAGCAATTCTAATTTCCAGTTTATAAGCTATTTTTGTTATTGCTGCTGCTTTTAAATATTCCATAATCTGGTTAGTAGAAAAGCCTGCTAAGGCTCCAATTTTCCTTTTTCCTCCACCAGCAAGCCAAGAGAGTCAATTCTGACAGTTACATTTTCCTTCCAGTTGCAGATTAAATTGTTCCCCTTTTTGAAATATATTATTCATAAATGTGAACAGTCTCTGAACTATGGCCCCTCCCATCCTGGATAGGAGGCTGGGTGGGCGGAAACTGCTCATCCACCCCATTGGCTGCTCTGGGGGTCTTCACACTTTAATCTTCCAGGCCAGGAATTTCCTTGGTCATCCCCCTTCCTGAAAGAAAACCCTCTGCCAAGGATGGCTTAGGCCTATGATTTCCCAATCAAGATGGGTTTAAGCAACAAATTCCTCTGATGAGATTTGTTCAAAGGGTCAAAGTTGAGTAACATAATCATAATCAAAAAGTGACCATCCAGTCAGATCTAAGTTTAGCCAATACCCATTCAGTTAACCTATTTTTAATCTCACCAAGCACATCCTTAAAGTATGAAAAGAAACTCCAACCTGAACATCCCATTAGCTCAGGGAAGGCTTACCCAAGCAGTCACTAAAGAAGCAACTTTCCACACCTAACTAGAGGTCTATAGGAGAAATCAAAAGGCACAGATTATTTTGGTTGTGTAAATATGCATAGCTGTGTACAACAAGCGCCATGTTTTTCCAGTTAAATACCTTTCATATAAATATTAAATATTTGATTCTATTCTGTATATATATGTGTATATATATACATATATATACACACGCACATATATATATATTTCATCTTTAGTCAGAAGTATTTCTACCTACTTTGTTATTTTTAAGAAAATCACTTCAAGTTATCTTAATTTTAGCTGAGGGAACCTGCTCACTTAGTATTCCAGTTGTCACCTTTGGCACAAGACCTTACCAAATGATCTCACTGCTTAATTCTATATACAGTGGAGAGCCACCCTTCACTTAGACTTTCAACCTGAAAACGGAAAAAGGGTGACCTGCAGCGCAAACATCTCACCCTCTCAAGGAGTGCGGGGCTGTCTCTTGCTGAGATCCAGAGGTTCATTTATCAGGAGAAGAGTGCAGTTAAATGAACTCCTACAAAACTCAAGTTAGCTAAATTCCAGCTGAACTAGCCGGCAGGAGTGGGGAGGGGAGATGTGACATTTCTGACAACCGCGGGAGTCCCCGCACATCAAGCCCAGAAAATGGTGAGTGTGTGGCAAAGACAGGGAAAGATGCACAGGCAGCTGGCCAGAGGAGAGCTGTCCCGGCCCTCTCAGTGTCTTCTCGGGGCACATCCCTTCCTTGCTGGCCGCCTCACCTTACCTTGACCACGTCGTCGTTGAGATGCTTGGGGTCGCGGTTGACCAGGTCGATCTCCTTGGTGTGCGCGTCGTACACTTGCTTCTCGTTCGTCTCTTCTGCCATGGCCTTGTTGTTGGGCTTGTAGATGTTGCCCTGTTCCCGGATGGGAACAGTGTAGAGATGTCCCTGCGGAGGGCGGACGGCCAGGAGGGGGAGGGTGGCACCGGCCGTAGAAGAAAATTTCAAAAAGAAAAACCGGCGATCAGAAAAGTCAGCCTAGTAGCGCGGCAAACCTCGAGGCTCAAAATCGAACTAACCGCTTCGGAAGCGGTGGCTCCGCGCACAGTAAACTCCTTGGAGCCGCAAGCTTTTTAAGAGGATCGAAGAGAGGACACCACACCCCTCGGTACCAGGCAGGGAGCTCCTGCCTCCCCCTCCCGCCACCGCCAGGGGTCAGGGCAGACCCCGCCGTGCGGTCCGCCCCGGCCTCAGCCCTGTGCACGCCCTGCCCGCGGCACCCCGCGGAGACCCCCGCAGGGGAGAGGACCAGACTTCCGACTTTTCTCCAGCCCCTCTCTCCGCCACGCCACCCTCTACCCGAGCTCTTCACCTGTTCCCGTCCCTGGCCTCCATTTCCCTTCTCTCCATAATCCCTTCTAGCTTCGTCCTTAAGACCCAGCTGGAACCCCCCGACCCATGGAACATCCTCCGCACCTGTCCGCGTCCCCCACCCTCCCTTTGCAGTCTCTGTTCCTGCGCAGCTCCCACCACTCCCCTGGTGCTCACAATCCCGCATCCCCCATCTTTGGGTCGAGCCAAGTGTCAGACCCTCCTAAGCTCTCTAGAACGGTATCTAACCTGCACAACCCCCCGACCCACCCTGAGGTCACTCCCAGGCTGCCGGCCGGTCGCTGAACGGCGGCTGAGTTTGGGAAAACGAGGTCTCGACACCCAGGCGGAGACCGAGCGCCGGGAGGTGGTTGGAAGGGCGGGGGGGTGGGGGGAGTGGTAGTTAGGGGGAGGGGAGGTCCGCTCCTCCCCAGAGACCCCTGCCAGGCGCCGAGATGCAGGAAAAGTTCTTGAGGTGGCCCAAGAGCTTTGGAAAGTGCAAACAAGACGCGCGCTGTCGCCCCGGCCAGCCGGTTCAGGCGCCTGGCGGGGAGTCGGGGGGACTGTCCCCAAGACTGCGAGTGAATGAGCTCCCACCCTCTGCTCTGGCTCTCTGCCTCCCAGCAGACTGGGGCCGGACCGTGGGGGTCCCACAATAAGGCAGTGCCCCTGAGCCATTCAGAAACGCGCCCTCGGTCTGGCAGACCCAACTTGAGGACCCCGACGACCCCCTTTTCCGCGATCCTCTAGCTTAGGGGCTCCCTTGACCCCCTTCCTAACAGGAAAACATAAAACATTCCTGCCTCCTCTTCACCTCCCCGTCCAGACCCATTCCTCAGCAATGCCAGGGGAGAGGAGTGCTCCGACGTCGAGAGAGGGCTGAGGCAAGCAAAACAGTCGGAATATTTGGAGTGGGAGATAGCAGAAGCAGCACTTCTTGCGCGCCGCGATCCCGGAGCACACCCACCCGAGCCTACCTCTGAGTCTACGTATTTGCCCCCCGACATTCTGGCCCGTGGCTGGATGAAGGCTCTGAGGAGATTTCCCTGGGCTGTGATTTAAGGGAACTGAGAAAGGAAGATCTTGTATTGTATGGGGGTGGGGGGGTGGGGAGGCTCTGGCGGGGGTGGGGGGGGCGGTGGCTGGGAGGGAGCCTCCTGGCTCTCCGCCAAGGGTTTGTTCTGCTCGCGGTTGGCCGGGATGTGTGCTGCGCCGGGTCTAGGCACATCCCCCAGGTTTTGGCAGCAGAGGGCGGGGAGCGCTCGCAAGGAATAAAGAGCAATGAGAAAGCGTTTTCACCGTCTGGGCTGCTTGGGCAGATATTTTAAACCTGGGGCAACATTTTTCCAACTATAAGCCACTGAGAGGCGTCCGGGCAGGGGAGCTAATGTTTTCGCAGTGCATCATCCCAGCAGGGGTGGGGAGTGGAGGAAGTCGATTGCCCGCAGAGATGCCCAGTATGGGCAACCGAGCTTCTGAAAGAATTCTGCCCAGTTCTAAGCCTTTTCTTCTCATCGCCCACGTTCCATCGCTGCTTAAGACACAACTATCTCCCTGTTTCACAGAGGAAGGGATGAAAAATGACCCGGAACCTTTAGGTGCATTTCACATCTAAACACAAGGAAGGAATCTGTGTGGGTGCATGTGTGGTGTGCTTTTGGTGACACTGGTTTACATCTAGTCTGTGTGGATGGAAACTTGGAGAAGCAGGCATGCAGAATTTAACGTTTACCAACCGCTTCTGAAATGTCTCTCAAATGCTTTGAAATAAGAAATAAAAATGTTTAACTCTTCTATTAATTTATTACTTTTTCCCCCCGGAACAAAGGAAACAGGTGATGCCATATTTACAAAATACATAAAATATTTACAATTGTACAAATATTTAATTGGAGTTTCAAGTTTACCAGAGAAGATTCTTTTTTTGTTTTTTAAGTGCTTGGCTGTGAGTTAGAGGAGGCTTAGTTTTTCTAGTAATTGATTAGAATTTTTTAAAAAGTTGTTAGCAATGAAAATATTTTATCTGTTCCTAAATCGGGGTTTTCTTTACCTTATTATAAAGTGGCACAAGATGAATTGAGCAATAATCAGTCATTTTACTTTGGGGCAATAATAAGGAGATTCACTATCCTAAAACGGAAAGGACATTTTGCATTACGTTCCACATGTGATCGAAAGTCAAATTATGATTTGAAATGAAAAAGCTGGGACTATACCTGAAAGGGCACAGGATACATTAAAAATACTGGCAGTCTAGAAGAGGGAAAATGGGAATGGACACAAAAGGAGGAGGAGAAAGGGAATTAGAGGATGGAACTCCTAGAGTTGATTATCAAGGTGGAGAGAAGACATAAACATATAAAAGAGAATGACAAAGCACAGGTTTTCGTTATTGTTGATAGCAGAAAGGCAATACAGTTTTTGGAGAAAAGATCAATTTCAACTAGATGGCAGAGAAAATGTCACAAATGTTGGCATGACTTTAATTATGCTGACTAGTCATCATTAGAATACTAAAGATCTTCCCAAAGTTGGGTTTTCTTAATTTTACTTCTGCCAAATTGCATTTCTAAATGCTTTGAACAGATTACATGTTAACAAACATGATATTCTAGAAAAGGGAGGTGTCAGGCTCAGTGTGTTGTGTAGTGCCTAGTCTACCTCTAATGATTGCGAAAAGATTGCTATTCCTCTAACTCCTCCTTCATAAAAATGTTGGCTGCAAAGCAGTTGAGTTTTGTTCTATGGAAAAATGTGGAAGCTGTTTCCCATCTTTTGTTATTCAGTCTTCAGCTGCAGTGAGTAATCTTGACTGTGAAAAAAGTCAACAGGAACAGGGAGAGAGCATGTCCTGCATTCCAGCAAGGAATGGACTTTGTGGGGAGGCCTGTGAGTGAATGCTTAACTAACACTCAAAGGAGGGAAAGCAGCCTCCCTGGGGAAGTCCACCCCAAAGTCAGCACAGCACATGGAATCATAATGATCAGTGAAGCGTTGTCAATGCCAAAATGAATTCCTAATGAGAAGAAAAACCACAAACTCTTCATTAACCTGCCCCAACAAGAAGCTGGCACCAAAGAGAAACAGATCATATTCTGGTTATAATAGCTGATTGGGATAATTGGCTCCATCCAACTTCATGAGATACAAAGAAAAGATGAAGTAGAACACTGTTAGCAGAGATTTGAAATGAATAGATGATGTAAAAAGATATATATATTTTTTGATACCCACAGATATAACTTTAGGCTTAGAGGCAAGTTAATAACTTCTCCAAATCATTTACTAAAAAAAAAAAAAAAAAAAAGGGTAAATGGCAACTTATTTTCCCTCTAAATTTTTTTTTTTTTTTAGGAAGCAGCCTTAAAGGTCAGCTCATGCATTATATGTTACTATATAGAGAGCTGAAAGGACCCAGGTCATCAAACCAGCCGTCTTCGAAATAAGGAAACTGAAGTTTAAATACATGAAAATGATGTTCTTAAGGAGTTTTGTGGGGCAATGAAACATTTTAAAATTCATAAATAACTATAGCACCTGTTAACAACTTGCGGGGTGTGGGATTCTTAAGTAGTGTAATGAGGACGGCTGTGGCAATACTGTGACGTTTGTTGCCTTTCGTGTTCTCTCATCTCTTTCTCTAGGCTCCCTAACCCCTGAGCACAGCTTCCTCTTCCCATCCCTTCCACCCTAGGTCCTCTTCATACTCTCAGCTGACTTCATCTCATTCCCACTCCAGGATTAGGAGTCTAAGGTTTGACCACTTATAATGATATGAAGGTTTAAAAAAGCAGTCATCTTTCCAAGATTTCTCAACACTCAGAAGCTTGATACTGCCCAAATGTGCCTTTGTTGATGAGTTCAAAAAAGTGAGTGTAGCTTAGATTATAATAAGAATTATCACTAGGTGTGATATAAAAACAATTTAATAACTAGTATGGCAGAGCCACCAAGCAGTCATTCTAGGCTTGAGTCACAGCTCTGGAGCTGTGCCTTAGTGTCCTGCCAGCTAGCTGCTGGCTTATTGGGAGTTGGGGGCCCTTGGGAGAAGGACAGGAGGGGAGGGAGTACATTTTAGAGCAGTGACTATTTATACGCAAGTACATAAATGGCAATATTTTTACAATCTGTGTTTCAGCTGAGTATTTACCCTGTTTTCACCATCACCACCTCTCATACCTTCCCCTATTCACCCCCATAACCCAGATCCCATTCAGGCCTTCTTCCCATACCTGCCATACCTTCTTCCATACCTTCCATTTTATACGTGGAAAGAAGTGACGTTCTAGAAGAAGACTTTGCCTCATCACCCAGTCCCTTCCTATCCCTGTTCTGGTTTGAAGGCCTCACTGGAATCTTCCTCAGTTTGAGGAATTCATTGGTCTTTACATTTTGACTCTCTTAAATGATTTTTTTCTATTTATTTTCTTAAAAAAAAAAGGACAACTATTTCTACATCTTAAAAATCTGATCAAGATGGCTGAAAAAGTATCCTTTTTATACTGTTTCTTTAAATTAGTTTTACTTTCTTTATTTGTAAAATGAAAAATATAATTGACGTCTACCCAAGAGGGGTGCTGTGAACATTCAATGAGGTGATGCATTTAAACCACTGAGGATACTGCCTAAATCAAAACAGATGCTAGGGTTAAGGAGACAAATTTCAGTCCACAGATTCAGGATTGAAATAAGTGTATTTTCTTTTATAGTATTTTTATTGTAAAATAGTTCAACCATCTAAGATATACCAAATAGTGTAATGAACACTCACCATAAGCCTGATCAAATACTTTTGTTTTGCCTGGTTTGCTTCAGATTTTTAAAGTGGAAAACATAGATATTATTCTGGTCTCCTGTGAGGTATAACTTTCTCTTTTATTAATAACTGAACTTAAATTTCTTTTACAAACCCCATTCCTTCAGGTGGCAGAACCTTCACCTCAATCAAGTCCTAGTTTCTTCCATTTTGTTAAGGTTGTATTGCATCTAAGTTCCAGGGGCTTATTGCCAAGGAGTCTCAGGGTGGGTCTGTGGAGGAGAGTCTCTTCCTTAGTTGTACATCTTGGATCTGCTGATAGGTACATATCCTGTCTGTCATTGGTCCATTCAGGATGCTGCTATAATGTCCTCGTGCTGATTCAATATGACCCTTAGGGCTAGAGACACCTTTTGCTACTTCTATCCTTTTCTTGGGGTTCTGTGCAAGTCTGATGAATCTGGGTGGGCAGGCCTGATGCAGCATCATGGAGCCTCCTATGGTAAATGTGGTGTAGAGAACAGAATAAATGCCCTACCACCGTGCAGAGGAACTCTAGAGGGTTGCTATCTCTACAGGCCCTACTCAGAAGCAGGAGGCACAAGTACCTCTGCTCTCAGATCCTCTTTTATCTGGGTTCATGCTAGGGATACACATGTGTCAAAAATTACTTTGTTTATTTTCCTAATTTTGTCTCCCTTGAGCAGGAAGCCTTGCTCATATATCACTCAATTTCTTTAATGCCCTGAATTCCCCCAGGACCAAGGCTTTTGGAATCAAGAGAAGCCTTATCTCTGCTTTTTCGTTGTAATAATCCTTCCCTAGGTATGGTGGGAGGTGAGGTAGGGGAAGGCTCCATGGGCATCCAGAAAAGAACATCCGTAAACATTTCAAAAGTGTCATCATTCACTAGTTTTCCTCTTTCCCTTGGAGGGGGAATTAGATGAAGCTAGTCAAAAGGTACAAACTTCCAGTTATAAGAGTAATAGAGATGTAATGTGTGAGTGATAAACATAATTAACGCTGCTGTATGTTATATATGAAAATTGTTAAAAGAGTAAATCTTGAGTTCTCATCACAAGGAAAAACCTTTTTTTCCTATTTCTTTAATTTTATATATATAGTAAATGATGAATGTTCACTGAACTTATTGGGATAATCATTTCATGATGTATGTATCATCATGCTATATACCTTAAACTTATGTAGTGCTGTGTATTGATTATATCTCAATAAACTGGAAGAAAACATAATCCTGGTAAGATTTTGCTGGTGACATATAAGATCTATCTGGTCTTTCTGAATTATAACAAACCCTCAAATTCAAATTCCAAATATGTAACTTTAGAACTTCTGCCAACATTTATATTTCATTGATAGCCTTATATTAGGGCTTATATCCTTCTAATTAGCTCAAAATATTGATGGTGGAATAATATCTTTAGCCTTTAGCTTTTACTGTATCAGTTTACTATATAATTTTCCTGTCAAATCTTTGTTATTCAAGACCAAATCAATCTGACTGGTTATTCAGTATTAT